ACAAATATACCCATAAAATGTTATCATCCTTTGGCTCACATAAACACACTATTGAGCAAAAGCAAGCCTAAACACATAACATTATAACTGATAACCTGGTCCCCCTCTCCACCGAGTTCTAATGTGATTTGGGGCAAGTTATGTATCGGGGAAGTCTCCAAGTCAACTAAAAGCCTGGAAAAGCGCTTCGGCATGGAAAGATATTGTCGACAGTATGCATGAAAACCCATCCTAAGGAAGCTTGCTTTCATTTAGTCATGCTCAACCATTTCCACCAGAAAGATTTCTCTCTTGTGCAAATTTCACCGACATTCTATGCTTCGATTATCCAGGATCAGGAGTTTCCAGTATGGCGCTGAATGTTCAACAGGAATTGACCTGCTATGGGGGCGATGTACGCAGACGTGTCTACGGGGACCTTTCTTTGAAATGGTTCACAGAGCATTCAACTGTTCTTTACTCGCGGGATGGCTGAGCGATTTCTCATCACCGGTATCTGTGCTTCCACATCTTCTTGTAGATAATCCGCTGGCTTTCTCGCTCTTAGTTCACAAAGACATCTTAATCACCCGCACCACTGTCCGCATGCACGCATTATAACGATTGTTATCTGCCATCTTGATTAATGGGCTCTGGAAACAGGCCTGGGACATGTGCATTCAGCCTATAGGACACAGACTTGCCACTATATCTAGCTGCGTGTAGTACCGCCACTTTTACATCCCTTTTTATACCTGTAAAATGAAAAAGTCCCTGGTTTGAACTTGGAAACACCCCTTGTGATATCATTAATACATATCCTTTATTATGAAGACGTTATTTAAACCTGGTTGCCACATAGAAATGGGATTCAAGTAGAAAAGTAACTCTTCATGTATTCCCTTGTGACATATCCATTACCATATAAAATAGATGTCATAAATTAAAAGCAAACAGATAAAGAAACTTCATATACCTGTAACTCTTGTTGAAATATGGCTGGTTTAATTTGTCATCCTCATTAAATACAGAAAGGCTTTGATATCAGCAAATTCACTGGTGAGAGCCGGTATGATGACAGCACAATTTAGGGCACGAGGCGTATCCAGAGGGAGGATCAATATCGAATACCACTTGATTTTCATCTAAGATAGTCCCCAGATGTCATGTCTAACTCATGTAGCTCATTATAGTGGTTCCATTCATACCTTCCCTCATACCAATGTGATTTTGATGTTATTCCTAATATAGTGCTATGTATTATAAGATTGATCTGAGTAGAGAGAGAGCAAGTAGATGCAGAGAATTCAAGCCCACTTATGAACAATCCAAGCAAGTTGCACTATTACCAACAAAAAGCCGCCTAGACTGCTGTTACTGCAAACAGGTTTTGTTTTGCATTTGGGAAAATGAAAGGTTTTACATAAACAATTTAAAAGGCTGATCATTAACGGTTTACCCTCACCAGTATTTGTAATTGGTTTGTTGTATATTTTGTGGTTTGTCGCAATAGTTGGCGTTGGTATGTATTGCCTCTCTCCACATTCTTAAATTCGCTCTGAAGACAAATCAAACACACGCTTGTTCAAAAGATGCCATTAATTTTCAATGGCACCTACACGTGGGTGCGAATTCTTGCAGCGATTTGTCACGTGTTAAATTGGCAACAAACCACATTGCGTGAATCTTGTCGCCCTGAAAGGAGTTTCTTTAGGGTGACTAGCTGTTGCCGTCCAAATTTGGTTTAAACATTCAATTCTTATGGATTTATGCTCAACAGGTTGCGGCAGAATCGCTACTGCATTTTAGGATGCCAATTGAAAAATGAATTGCTCACCTGAAAAAGCGTGGTGCGTTTTTAGAGTTGCCCACCCTCCGCCCTTTGTCAAACACCACTTGACGCTCCATAAAATGAGGGTGGAGCTGGGGGTGTTCGCAAACTTAACCACTTCACAGCCGCAGCCTCACTGGCCCTTGTATGATTTTCAGAAGCCAGGAAGTTATTACGGGTTCTTAGGATCATGTTCAACAAACATATAATTCGCCTTCATCACGGCGCTGTGAGTTCATCCTTGATTCGTGAAAGAGGTCCCGATATGCTAAGGGTGAGAGTTATCAGGGACCTTTTCCATGAGTCACGGACGTATGTGCTGGGAGCTCGCAGGGTGCATTAGACGCGCGTCTCCTAGCACATTTTAGCTGTGTATATTTTTCCTAATCGGCACAGTTTACAAACTATGCATTGGGTCCGCTCTGTTGGTTCATGGCCCAGACACCAAGAGGCCACATATTTTGCAGTGCTGCTCAACGCGCCGGTGTCAGAAGCGGTGTTAAAAGATATGACATTAGGCAGTGCAAATCTGGTCTCTCCACCGTGCAATGATGGAATGATGGAAGTTCCCTTTATATGAGTACATCTAGAGATTCCCCAACTGGGGTGTCCCTACCGCTTATCAGCACTGAGTATGGCCTTCCATCACATCTTACTAGTCATCAATCCCATAAACCCTATTATGGACTCACAGTCTGAAACTCCTGGGACTTGGTTCACGATACTCAAATAATATGTATGCCTCTGTACGTACCTTTTATTTGCCCATTCTCCTCCCCAGCCGCCTCCTCCCCAGCTCTCCCAACCCCCATGCGAGAATCTGCTCTTCTTGCATGGTGACCCTCTCTATTGGTTTCACTCAAACGTCTATCATTTTATTTTGTTCATTCATAGTCTTTCGTCGCTCTACCTGGACCTCCCTTCAGAAAACACCATCCGTAATATACCCCAAATTCAATAATGAGTTTGCTGATTTTGCAGTTATGTCATTGGATTATGTGAGTGACAGGAAATAGTTGGGCAGTTTTCCATACTCTACTTGCTCTTTTTCCGCTCCTTTAGGGGGATCGATGCATTGCATAGCCCTTCATACAGCCAATCACTGACCTCTATTACAACAGCCACAGACTCCATCGACCATCCCTCATTACCATTCTGGCTTGTTATATGGACAGTGCGTTGACTCAGGGGATGGCGATGTCCCCACAATCACAAACTGGATGCTTGGTGTGCTCAAGTCTTCTCCTCCAGGATGAATGCCATCACTGGGTATATAGGTGACAACCAGTCCATATACTGATAAGTCCTCACATTACAGTATAATACCCATGGTCGCAACTATGAGAATTGAATCTATATTGTGTTCCTCATTTGTTTATGTATTTTACTGTTCATATGATAGCCCCCCGTGTGGGAGTTTTGCACGTGTTTTGTACATTTTCTCTCCCTTTAAAATCAATAAAAGTACTGAAACAGAAGTAAATGTTTACAAATATAATGCATTATTTCATGAAAGTGGAATATACATGGATTTTTGTATAGTGGGTGGCCAGTATATAAGCCGTCTTGATTAGGTTGCAGATAAGAGAGGGAGAGATGAGCAGGTATGATCTTGAAAGACAAATCAGATTGTATCTCAGAGACAAACAGCCACAAATGTTTTAACAGGGCTGGAAAGTATATAAACATTTGTTTTTAATGCCATTAGTTTAAGAGGGAGAGAAGATGAGGCACATGTTATTCAAATAGAAATTAAAGTGAGTTAACAGACAATATTCTGCTGGATATTTCTGCAGAGGATCAAGTATTTTCACTAGATTCTCCTCAGTGTGGCCTCTTTCCCTCTTCATTATGCATATCCTCAACCAGTGTTTCTCAACCTTTTTTCAGTCAACGGGCACCCTTTAAAATTATGGACAGTCCCAAGGCACCCTTTTAAAATTATGGACAGTCTTGAGGCAACCCCATTCTTAAATAGGGTGGCCTCAAGTCTGTCCATAATGTTTAAAAGGGCACGCCCCATTCTAAATGTGAAAAACTATTGTAATAAGTTTTATATTTAACTCAGAAACATCCAAACATATAGACACCCAAAACTCTAGAGGTGATTTTATTCTTTCTAAAGCAAATACACTTTTGCATCCACTGTACTGACTAGTATCCCAGTGTTTCTCTCCTCTCCTTCAGTTTTTCTCCATCACTGAGCTACAATGTGTTACCCCAGCACTGATGGAGAGCGGCAGGGGAGGGTCAATACTTGTAGTAATCTGTGCAGGCAGCTGACATCCTCCTTAACCGTGATGTCATTGGTTGTCAAGATGCCAGCAGCTAGAAGGTTGTAATGGTACACAATGAAAATCTGTGGCTTTGTGTAACTAAAAAGGCAGGTTTGTCCACCCGCTGACTTGTATACACGTTTTAGGCTTTTACAAATGGATAATGATCCTAAAACACACCTCGAAATCCACGGGGGATTACATCAAGAGGCGTAAACTGAAGGTTTTGCCATGGCCTTCACAATCTCCTGACCTCAATATAATTGAAAATCTATGGATAGACCTTAAAAGAGCAGTGCGTGACAGACAGCCCAGAAATCTCAAAGAACTGGAAGACTTTTGTAGGAAGAATGGGCAAAGATACCTCAAACAAGAATTGAAAGACTCTTGGCTGGCTACAAAAGCCGTTTACAAGCTGTGATACTTGCCAAAGGGGGCAGTACAAGATATTAAACTCTGCAGGGTGCCCATACTTTTTCAGAGGCCATTTTTTGTTTTCTGTTATTTTGAAGGTGTAAATGATGGAAATAAAATCTAACTTTTGTTGACATATTATAAGAATGTCTAATCTGTAATTTGATGGCTTTGAGATTTTTCCATCTTTCCTTGGCTTCTTTATGCACATTAATACAAATGTTTAGCTGGGGTGCCCAAACTTTCGATCCCCACTGTATATAGTGTGTGTATATATACCGTATTTTTCGCTCGTCCATAAGACGCACTTTTTCCCCCCAAAAAAAAAATGTACGTCTTATGGAGCGAATATAGAGATCGGCCGTCGCCGTGTTAGAATACCGGACCAGCCACTCAGCTCTTCTGTGGCAGAAGAGAGGAGGAGTCCGAGGAATCCGAGAAAAAAAAAAGTGTCAGCAGCTACAAAAACTGTAGCTCTCCTGACTTAAAATACAGCCACTTCCCTGTCCTTCAGTACAGCGGTGTCCTCACCACCGCTGGTTTCACAGGCCGTCATCTTTCCCCGGCTGTGATAGCGGCTTCACAGCAGGGTGCCCACTGCACATGCCGAGAAGCGCTACACTTTGTGAATGGCCCAGTAGTCTTCTGTGGGTCCTGTCATGTGTCCCAGGAAGACTACGGGGAGGGGATGGGAGGAGGAGGACAACTTCCGCTTCAGATCGCCTAGGCAATCGCAATGGGAGTGGGTACCTGTCAAATTTGGGTACCCACCCGCCCTCCCACTTCCCAAAGGTCTCCAGTCACTCTGGTCATCTCCTGTACTGTGTCCGCAGTCTCTGGTCATCTCCTGTACTGTGTCCGCAGTCTCTGGTCATCTCCTGTACTGTGTCCGAAGTCTCTGGTCATCTCCTGTACTATGTCTGCAGTCTCTGGTCATCTCCTGTAACCATGTCCGCAGTCTCTGGTCATCCCCTGTAGCATGTGTGCAGTCTCTGGTCATCTCCTGTAGTATGTCCACAGTCTCTGGTCATCCTCTGTACCGTGTCCACAGTCTCTGGTCATCCCCTGTACCGTGTCCACAGTCTCTGGTCATCCCCTGTACCGTGTCCGCAGTCTCTGGTCATCCCCTGTACCGTGTCTGCAGTCTCTGGTCATCTCCTGTACCATGTCTGCAGTCTCTGGTCATCACCTGTACATGTCTGCAGTCTCTCTGGTCATCTCCTGTACCATGTCCGCAGTCTCTGGTCATCTCCTGTAAACCATGTCCGCAGTCTCTGGTCATCTCCTGTACCATGTCCGCAGTCTCTGGTCATCTCCTGTACCATGTCTGCAGTCTCTGGTCATCTCCTGTACCATGTCCGCAGTCTCTGGTCATCCCCTGTACTATGTGTGCAGTCTCTGGTCATCTCCTGTAGTATGTCCACAGTCTCTGGTCATCCTCTGTACCGTGTCCACAGTCTCTGGTCATCCCCTGTACCGTGTCCGCAGTCTCTGGTCATCTCCTGTACCATGTCCGCAGTCTCTGGTAATCTCCTGTACCATGTCCGCAGTCTCTGGTCATCTCCTGTAGTATGTCCACAGTCTCTGGTCATCCTCTGTACCGTGTCCACAGTCTCTGGTCATCCCCTGTACCATGTCCGCAGTCTCTGGTCATCTCCTGTACCATCTCCGCAGTCTCTGGTCATCTCCTGTACCATGTCCGCAGTCTCTGGTCATCTCCTGTACCATGTCTGCAGTCTCTGGTCATCTCCTGTACCATGTCCGCAGTCTCTGGTCATCCCCTGTACTATGTGTGCAGTCTCTGGTCATCTCCTGTAGTATGTCCACAGTCTCTGGTCATCCTCTGTACCGTGTCCACAGTCTCTGGTCATCCCCTGTACCGTGTCCGCAGTCTCTGGTCATCTCCTGTACATGTCCGCAGTCTCTGGTCATCTCCTGTACCATGTCCGCAGTCTCTGGTCATCTCCTGTAGTATGTCTGCAGTCTCTGCTCATTTCCTTGTACTATGTCTGCAGTTCATTGTTCAGGATATTTTTTTCTTGTTTTCCTCCTCTAAAACGTAGGTGCGTCTTATGGTCAGGTGTGTCTTATGGAGTGGTAATTATATATATATATATAATATATTATATATGTATATATATATATATATATATCTCCTCAGAAAATGTTTTTTTTTCCCAGCTATATCTCCTGATCATGTATCTTTATTGCAAATTCAATGTTCTCATTTTTATCCATTAAAGGTGTTTATGTCAGCACTCTCTAGTGCGATCTGTTTTGTTTTTCTCACTGCTGCGATACCAACATTTCCTTTTACTTAACTCCATTCATTACAGGAGATAGCAGTGACTTGGAGACCAGCAGGAAAAATCAGCAAGGGCCACAAGGAGCACAGTAATTCAACAATCCCAAAACTGCCCGTTGAGATCAGTTTCTCCCGACCGCATACATTATCGGATGGAAGCAAATAGTTTTTTTTGTGTCTGTAAAGTTACGGACAGTTGGCAATACTGCTCACACATTGTAAATCAGATTTTACTACTACATACAGAAAAATCTATTTACAATAAGAGCTGTAAAAATGAGAAACATCAGCGGCTATTAATATAGAAATACCATTGTAGATTGCTGATCTAGTGGACATCTGGTTGCCTTTGGGTTATTAGGAAGAAATATTTTCTTTTTCTGTTAGAGCAAGATGGACAATTCTTTATTTTTTTACCCTCTGAATCCATTATGGGTTTTCTGTTCTGAGGATACAAAGCAGTTTCTTTTCTTTTTTTTTTTCCAACCTAATGGACATTTGTCTTTTTTCAACCTATGTATCTATACTCATAGGTAACTGCCATACATAGACAAAAAAATATAATTATGTAGATTATAACAAGATAATGAAACATTTTTCAAACTCTCCAGTTCATACATATCCCAATAATCAGTAATGAATAGATTTTAAATGAATTTACCTGAATTAAGGAGAAAAAATGTAAAGCAAACCATAACCAGAGTAAGTTCCATATCTGAGTCTTCACTGAGCAGTCTGGGATTCTGTACTGTGTTGTTCTGCATTTGTATAATTCATTAACTTATAAGGAAGAACGTAATGACAACATTCATTGTTTAAGAGCACCGTATGCCTCTTTAGATAGAAATAGGAACTGCAAAGTATATGAGATAGGAATCCAGCAATGTATCTGTATTAACGCACTTGTAACAACGCCAATTGCATTTTTCCATATTTTAGTGCATGTTGATTCTTTGCAACATGCAGGGGTGTATTTATCACAAGGCAAACAAGGCATTTGCCTAGGGTGACATTTTTCAGGGGGGCAGCACTGCCCCTCAAAAGAAGGGGCGGAAGAAGAGATACACGGAGCATTGGGACCTGGTGGGTTCCGAGAGATGCTGTGGGTTTCATGACGGTGTATGCACAGCCCGACTCTCGTTCCTGGGGATGTCTGGAGCTGTGAAGGTGAGTGTCTTTCTCTCTCTCACCATGGGGGATGGTGGCTGGTGTATGGGGGCAGTTGTAATGGAAGGCTCAGGTGGAGGGCAGGGGTGTCCTTGGTCAATGTCAGGCTCTTTCTGCGGGGGGGATCGCCAATTTTTTGTGTTGCCTAGGGCAGCACAAAACCTAAATACAAAACTGGCAACATGCTGTAATGCATTGTAAGCCAAGAAGGCAGCCTTGTGAATTTTGTCTCTTCTTGTGACCAGTAGTCCATTTGCTGTGTAGTGTGGAGAGTGGGGAAAATACATCAGGACCTATAAATTAATGTCTGGCACAGGTTGGGTAGACATAGATGCATTTATCTGCATGGTGCTGAACCATCTAGAAATTTATAATCTAGCTTAGACTGTATAAACACGTTCAAAAGGGAAAAAACAAGTATGGCAGCAGATTGCTTCCAAAAATGCAACCTAATTGGGCCCATATGTCTAAATCACCAGCGGGTAGTCCGTGGTGAGTATAAAAACTGGTTGCTAGGGGCATGACTTACTTTGCAAAGGAAATGATGACATACTTAAAGTGTTACTAAACCCACAAATTAAAATCAGCCTGTATACACTGAAAAAGTATGTGAACCCCTTGGGATTACGTGGAGTTTTGCATGAATTGGGCATAAAATGTGCTCTGAACGTCATCTAAGTAACAACAATAGAAGAACACAGTCTGCTGAACATAATACTACACAAACATTAGATGTTGCCATGGTTTAATTGCACATAACATGTAAACATTCACAGTGCAGGGAGGAAAAAGTATGTGAACCTTTGGACTTAATAACTGGTTGACCCTCCTTTGGCAGCAATAACCTCAACCAAACGTTTCCTGTAGTTGCAGATCAGACCTGCACAACGATCTGGAGTAATTTTGGACCACTCCTCTTCACAAAACTGTTTCAGTGTAGCAATATTCTTGGGATGTCTGGTGTGAATCGCTCTCTTAAGGTCATGCCACAGCATTTCAATCGGGTTGAGGTCAGGACTCTGACTGGGCCACTCCAGAAGGCGTATTCTGTGCTGTTGCAGCCATTGTTTTGTTGAATTACTTGTATGCTTTGGGTCATTGTCCTGTTGCATCACCCATCCTCTGCGGAGCTTCAGTTGGCGGACAGATGGTCGTACGTTTTCCAACAAAATGTCTTGATAAACTCTGGAATTCATTTTCCCATCAATGACAACAATCCGTCCAGGCCCTGAGGCAGCAAAGCAGCCCCAAACCATGATGCTCCCTCCGCCATGTTTTACAGTGGGGATGAGGTTTTGATGTTGGTGTGCTGTGCCTTTTTTTTCTCCACACATAGTGTTGTGTGTTCTTCCCAAACAACTCAATCTTGGTTTCATCTGTCCACAGTATATTTTGCCAGTAGTGCTGTGGAACATCCAGGTGCTCTTTTGCAAACTTCAAACGTGCTGCAATATTCTTTTTGGACAGCAATGGCTTCCTCCGTGGTGTCCTCCCATGTACTCCATTCTTGTTTAATGTTTCCCTTATTGTAGATGTGTCAACAAAAATGTTAGCATGTGCCAGAGATTTCTGTAGGTCTTTAGCTGACACTCTGGGATTCTTCTTTACCTCATGCAGCATTCTGCGCTGTGCTCTTGCAGTCATTTCTACAGGACGACCACGTCTAGGGAGAGTAGCAACAGTACTAAACTTTCTCCATTTGTAGACAGTCTGTCTTACCGTGGACACATGAACATCAAGGCTTTTGGAGATACTTTTGTAACCCTTTCCAGCTTCATGCAAGTCAACAATTCTTGGTCGTAGGTCTTCTGAGAGCTCTTTTCTGCGAGGCATGGTTCACATCAGACAGTGCTTCTTGAAACCGGTAAACCCAAAACAGGTGTGTGTTTTTTAAGGGCTGGACAGCTGTCAGCAACACATCCAATATCATCACACTGATTGGAGTCAAGGTTGGCTCACTCCTGGCTCCAATTAGTTCTGGGAGAAGTCATTAAGCTAGGGCCTCACATACTTTTTCCTCCCTGCACTGTGAATGTTTACATGTTATGTGCAATTAAACCATGGCAACATCTAATGTTTGTGTAGTATTATCTTAAGCAGACTGTGTTCTTCTATTTTTGTGACTTAGATGACGTTCAGAGAACATTTTATGCCCAATTCATGCAAAACTCCACGTAATCCCAAGGGGTTCACATACTTTTTCTTGCAACTGTATGTAGTAAAGCATGCCTGTTATATTCAGTCTGGAACCGAAGGGGTTAATCCTCCACATTGTGTAAAAAGGCTGTTTGATCTTTTCTTCTCTGTTCCTCCCCTTTTGATGCCTTCTGATGCCTTACCATACACCCTGAGCACCTGATGCCTTACCATACACCCTGAGCACCTGATGCCTTACCATACACCCTGAGTACCTGATGCCTTACCATACACCATGAGCACCTGATGCCTTACCATACATCCTGAGCACCTGATGCCTTACCATACACCACGAGCACCTGATGCCTTACCATACACCCTGAGCATCTGATGCTGTACCATACACCCTGAGCACCTGATGCCTTACCATACACCCTGAGCATCTGATGATGTACCATACACCCTGAGCATCTGATACCTTACCTTACACCCTGAGCATCTGATACCTTACCTTACACCCTGAGCATCTGACGCCTTACCTTACACAATGAGCATCTGATGCCTTACCATACACCCTGAGCACCTGATGCCTTACCATACACCCTGAGCATCTGATGCTGTACCATACACCCTGAGCATCTGATGCTGTACCATACACCCTGAGCATCTGATGCCTTGCCATACACTCTGAGCATCTGATGCCTTACCATACACTCTCAGCACTTGAGTTGGCATCATGGAAGTTAAGGCAGGAGAGCCACTGGTCCCCAGAATGGCAGTGTAGAATTACCATTGCTCATTCTCACCAGATTCCAACCAGCAGAAAAGATATTCCTACTCCTGCAGTAGCCTGTCACCACTCTCAATTGAGAGGCATTCCTGACCACATACCAGCTCTTAACAGAAATGCTGATACTCTCATGCCCCTCAGTAGGACGTTGCTAGGGTATCCATGGCAATCCAACAAACCAACATGATGTACCAGATGCCCAACACCTGGACCTAGGCTGGGTTATCATAGGGAACATCTGTCTGAGTAATGGTTTTCCACAGTTTCTTCACTTAAGACATGCATCCAGCCAAATGGTCACATTGCCTGTTTTGAAAAGTACCTACATCACTAAAATACATCTAGGTTGCATCTACAGGTGA